TTATTATCCATTGAGACAGTGCTCCCCCAGTATCTCCTGCTTTATTCTTACAGGAGATCAAGGTCTAAGTTTTTATTATATGTCTGAGATAAGGTTATTCCCCCATCCCCTGTTCTTAATCTATGATTTAAGGTAAACTGCTTCAATTTATTGTTTCATCTCTCTATACTTAAATTCTCCCCTCTGTGGAATTAATAACCTTTCTTAGTTAACATCCTATCCTTTCCTATGTATTTAACTTCAATTAAATTCCCTTCTATATTTCTGTATGAGCCTATTTTAGACTATTAATTCGTCTTACCAGGCTAAGCAAACCCAGAATTCCCATGTAGACCATGTTCAAAAGAACCCAAATGCTGCACTGAAATACACTTTTTCTAATTTCTTTTCATGTATTTTTCTCATTCATTTATTGATATTAACAGCCCTGTAGGGGTGTGTGTGTTTATATGTGTGTATATATGTACATGTATATGTGCATATATATGTCCTTTTTTCTATAGAAATTGAATTAACATCCTTTTCTATGTATTTGACTTCAATTAAATTCCCTTCTAATTAACGTATGAGCCCATTTTATTAATTTTTCATACCAGGCTAAGCAATTCCAGCATTTTTGTGTAGACCACACTCAAAAGCAGAGACTAGTAGATCTCTATATGTTAGTTGTTTTCTAAGTTCTAGAGTTTCAGTGAAAAAGGGTGTGGTTGCACAGGCCTTTAATCCCATGAGTCAGCAAAAAAACCTCACAGAGGTCTACTAATTTAGTTTGTTTGAACACTAGAAAAATAAAATACCATGTTAACAGATTATTATGCAAATCACTCTACATGGTAACTACAAATGCAGTTTCGTTGATACCATATAGGAAGAGCTACAACAGGCAAATGAGCTCCCTGTAAATGGGCCACCATCCTGCTCATCTATCCTGGCGAGCTCTGGTACTGCATGACCTCAGAGATATTGTCCCTGGGTTGCTTCTTGCTACTGATGTGCTTTGTCATGTTTTTCATTTCCATCTCCTCATTTATTTGGCTTGGTGTGAGTGGACACTGTAGGAGATTTTCACTGCGTATAACTCGTGATTACTTCATAGCTGATACTCCACTCTGTTGGCCAAGTTTCTTGCGGATCAACATGAAGATGAAAGTTCTTGAGATAACGCTGTCTAGATGAACTAATGGCTTTATGGAATTTCTGACTTTTTTTCCATAATTATGAATAACATACTTATTGGCGAATTAGCAATTAGAGATTATTAATAGAGCAGAATTTACTCCATCTGTATTCACCCATTGGCTTCTAACACAAATATTTTCTATATGTGGAGAAAAAATACCATCACATTCCACTCTCTGGCCCCCAAAGACTTGTTCAACCACATGACCAAGCCCGCTCAGTCAGTCAACAGGTTCTCCAGCGCAGGAGTGAGGATTAAAAGAAAAGACACGGTTAGACAAAATTGCAGCATGACCCCAGCCAGTTCTGAGGCTGAAGGCGGGTTCCTTTAATTCGACTTTTCTTTTAAACCCTTTTAATTACATACAAGTATTTAGGTCAGTTCTAGGTTTGAGGAACCAACATTACAATAGAAACAGTCAAGGAACAAACAAGGCAATATACAGAGTCCCGTGATCACCCCGTGATCACTCTCAGGATCGCTGGTTCTAAGGGCTCATCAGGGTGACAAAGTATCTGAGCCTACTTCCCAGTACCTAGCCCACAGTCATATTCATGGCTGAGGCTTACCTCTTTGTTTTAGCCTAAGACTAGCATTCCTGACTGAATTTACTTCTCTGTTTTAGCCTAAAAATAGACTCCTGCCTGAACTTACTTCCTTGTCATGGCCCACAGTCAGATTCTTGTCTAAAGCCCAATTCCTTGTCCTTGGCCAATGTGAGATTCCTGCCAAGCAGCCCCAATGGCTTCCCACAACCACATGAGTCTCTGGGTCCATATCTAGCTATAGCATAATTTAATAAGTACATTTAGTCCAATTTCTAAAGTCCCCATAGTCTTTACCTGTATCAACAATGTCAAAAGTCCAAAGTTCAAAGTCTCTTCTGATATCCATCTGATCATCTAACTGTAATCCCTGAATCAAGATAAGAAACCAGCTGGACAAACTCCAAACTCTGCGTCTCCGTATCTGATATCAAAGCAGTTTTCAGATCTCCAACTCCTTTTTCATCTTTGTTGACTGCAACAAACATGTTTTCCTGGGCTGGTTCCACTCCCTGTTAGCAGCATTCCTCAGGAGATATGCTATGGGGGTGGCATCTAGAAAATCTTCTGGTTTCCAAGGCAACTTCAATGTTACAGCTTCTTGTTTCAGTGTCTGAGATCCACACATGACCTTCTGGGTTCCTCCAACCGGTTGACATCACTTCTCCAGCTCTGCCTTCTGTACCATTCTAAGCTCAGGGTGATCCACTCCACTGTTGTTCAGTGTTCTTGTTCATCCATCGCATGGTACTTGCATCTCAAATACACTGGGGTCTTCCACTGCAACTAGGCTTCCAAATAGCCTCTCATAGGATCTCTTCATGGTGCCAAGCCTCAACTCCTTTTCCTGATCACTTCATTCTTGGTACATCAACTACAACTGAGGCTGCCCCTTCACCAATGTCCTTCCCTGGCCTCGCACAGTGTCAAGCCTCAGCTGTTCTTCATAACCCCTTAATACCTTCAAAACCAGTACCACCTGGGTGACTCTTACATATTACCAAGTACAGCTGCAGCACAACGTACAACCTTGGCTATCTCTGGAACACAGCTTCTTTGTGCGTTCAGAAAATACTTCCCAGAAGATTTCACCTCAGTAATGTTGTTGGTCTCTTTCCAATCACCACTAACTTCTTAGCTTCAGATAACCAGCATCAACTGTCCCAGTAGTATCTTCTGTGTTTCACTCTATAGCCAGAGCCACATGGCTGAAGCTGCCATGTTCTACTGTTTGCTGACACTGGAACATAGCTGTCCTTATGCTATTACCAGGTTTCTATTTTCCAACTCCCTCACTGCCTAAGCTTGGCTTTCCTGGAACTTGCTCTGTAGATTGACCTTGAGCTCAGAGATCTGCATGGCTCTGTCTCCTGTAATGCTGGGACTAAAGGTGTGTAGTACCATGCCTGGATTTAAACTTTTCTTCACCTACAACCTGCTTTGTCTTAGGATAGCCATGGACTCAGAGATCTTTTTGTCTTCAGGGATTAAAAGTACGTACCACCATGCCTGGATCTAAACTTAGCTGGATAGGCTCTTGCCCCAAAATCCTTTAATCTGTTATCTCTCAGAACATAGGATTCAGCTCCATTTCACTTCCTGGTGCCTCTTAAAGACTTGAAGCATATATTTTATATTTTTCCTTTCCAAGCTTGCTAAGCTCCTGTAAAATGCTCTTCATCAGACTTAACCAGAGAACAAAGTCTCTGCTGGGCTTTTTTGAGACTTCTTTTGTCAATGCAATTAATATAAGTCTCTTTACCCTAGACTCAGGTAGTCTTGTCAGGCAACTGCAAAAAGCAGCCACTTTCTTCACCAAAATGCTACAACAGTCTCTAGGCCATACACTGAAATTCTCCTCTGAAACCTCTTGGGCCAGGTTTGCATAGTTCGAAATCAATCTCAGTAACAAAGTCTTCCACATTCCTACTAGGATAGCCCCTTAAGCCCCATTTAAAGCATTCCACTGTTCCCAAATTGAAACTCCCCAAATCCACACTCTTCCAGACAGAAGTGTGATCAGGCCTATCACAGCAATAGCCCACTCCCTGGTTCCAACTTCTTAGTTAGGGTTTTACTGCTGTGAACAGACACCATGACCAAGGCAAGTCTGGTAAAGGACAACATTTAATTGGGGCTGGCTTATAGGTTCAAAGATACACTTCATTTTCATCAAAGAGGGAACATGGCAGCGTCCAGGCAGGCATGGTGCAGGAGGAGCTGAGAGTTCTACATCTTCATCTGAAGGCTGCTAGCAGAATACTGCTCCTGGACAGCTAGGAATGGGGTTTTGTAACGTTGACTCAAGCAGGAACTGCACAAGAATAAACCTTCCAAAGAAGAGATGGGAATTCTCAATACTTCATGGTTCCAGTGTAACTTCTTTAATACACTGACCACATTTGACAGTACTATGAACATATTTCTGATACCTTTGTATTCAACAAGGAATCATCTCGGTGTTCTGCTTAGGAGTAATGTCAGAAGTTCAAGGCAGACACCATTGACGTTCAAATATTGTCAAATATGAACGGTGATGGGATTAGCAGAGAGTCAGGAAATTTAATAAGGAACATCAAACCTAACACAGACAGAAATCCTATAGTGGACGACTGATCAAGACTCAGGACACACACCATTGCGATTCCAGGAGCTCTGCCCCTCCTATTGGGAGACACAGAGGAGGGAAGTCTGTGCTCAGAGAACACCTGTGGTTACTGGCTTTGAACTCTAAGTCTTGTGTCTTAAGCACCTGAGATGACAGGCAGGGTCACCAAGGATGGTTTCTAGAGCATCTTAAAGAGATGATGCTCAGTCCTAAATTAACTTTTGCTTCCACATTTTTCAGTAAAGCAAGTCATGAATTTTCCATGTGCTACTGAGATACTTTAAATTCCTTTAAAACCACAGCGTTCTAGCAGAAATAACTAGGAAATCTGGTAAACATCACTGTGAAAGGCTCGACTCATGGGGTAATATCGCGTGCTGCGAACATGGGACTTTTAAAAAGTCCAAATGCCCGCGGCTGCCCATTCGCAGAAGCTTGTTTCTTCCCAACTTAACCTATTCAAGTTGGGCAGGAATCCAGGCAGTGGACAAACCAGTTCTGTGGGTTCCTGGAAGTTCTTTGCTCTGACTTGTGGGAAATGTAGTCCCGACTACGATGACATCACCAAAAGACTGGCTGTGGGTATCAAACTTCCGCGTGTGATTTTCAAACTTAAGCTTCTCCCCAAAGTTAGGGGACTGTCCTGTAGAGAGCTGCGTTTGGATCTCTGACATGGAGGTTGGTGCAGGTAACAGCGCCACCTTGCAGATCTGAGGGACTGTGCAGGGCATATGGTCGGGCGCGGAAGGAGCTTACTTGGGCTTGCTGTGAGACAGAGGAAGCTGCTGACCTGCAGGTGCTGTGCTCACCTAGGCTGGGCCACCGCCCCCAGGCACAGGTTTGAAGGGAAGAAGGTTGGAAACAACAGGATGGCAAGAGCAGGCTGGGTCTGCTGCCTGCCTGTGCCTGAGATGCTGAAGGGAGCGCACTCATCTTTACTGGGGAAACGTGCTCTGCTGAGCTGACCTGTGCTTACAATGGATGTAGTCAGTTTCTCAGGACATACAGAATATGCAGACATCTAGTGCCTACTAAACTTTATGTCCTGTCTACTACTCCAGTTTGAGCTCACAAATCCTCCTAAAGTTCCTAGTGTCCAGGAACAGAGTCCTGTGGGGGTGATTGTCGTGTGGGGTGTTAGTTCCTTTTCCTTTGGAATGAATTGTTAGATTTATGGATGCCTCGGTTTGAATAAGAATTCTGAATGTACAATCCTGTCACCTGAATCATCACAATACATGGCGATTGTATAATAATCTTGTAACTGGTATGAACCAGTATTTGCACAATCCAAATTACTATGGAATTTGCCCTTCTGCTTAAGAATCACTAGACAATAATATCCCCAACAATTTTTAGTATGTGTTCTGTCTAAAATTTGGACTCCTTTTCAGATACAAAAGATGACTTGGTGCAATGAGAGAAATGGAACTCGTGATCTCTGGGAGGGGCTGGAATGTCTCTGAAAGGGAAGGGAGATGGCCCTCCTCTGGTCACATGATTGTCTTGTCTGTTCACATTATCAGCAATGTCTAAATTCCCTTAAAAAACTCTGTCCCTGTATCTGGCATCCAGCTTCACTGTTGCTCCCTGAATATTTCTAGAATGGTTTTCCCATGTTTTCATGAGTTTGTAAGAAAACTTCAGAAAGCTCTGGCACACTTGGGATCTTACGATTTTCACAAAGGTTCCTGTCCATTCAAAATGCACAGTTCTCCTCTTAAAGGGCTAAGAGAGAATTTAGTCCGGAGATTTTCTAGAGGTCATTATCTGAGAATAGAGATTTAGTTTCATCTAAAGTCTGGGCTTCAACACAAGGCAGTTTCATGGTTTTACAGAATAAAGAATGTCTTTAAACAAGGAAAATTTAAAGTACACTGGTGTGTGTCTCATAAAGGGAAGTACTAAAAGACATGGGAGAAAATACCACCTGATGAGATTATGGCTTTTGGACTGATAGAATCTCAGGTTCTGCCAAGCCTGTGGATTTGAGGTTTTAAATCTGTCACAAGTTGTTTGGTCTAATACAGTGTGAGGTAAGGACTGTCCCTGAAGAGAAAACCAGCAAAGGTAAGACAGCTCCCCCTGAACCTGCAAAATTGCAGGCTCTGCCCCTCAATGAACTTCTGCATGGGCCATCAGTCTCTGCGCACACAGACTCCTTCCAAGAGTTTTGCATTCACAGTTAGACAGGAAGTTGTGGTTTTTCCATTTTCAGGATTTCTGCTCCAGAAACCTTCCCCCCATCTCAGGTGATTTTGCTTATATTGTCACTCTTCAGTCAAACCAAGTGTTAGTGAGCTGGAACCTGGCTTATGGCATTCAAGTCTACTCTCAGGGAGCATGGGCTTCAGACCACCTTGTTCTGTGTTCTAGGATTTTAATGAGTTTCTAACCATACATAGGATAATAGACATTTCTTAGTTAACTCTGCTAATCTGTAGAAAAACTACAACAGTATATAAAATCAGAATCACATGCTGCCTTATGCTTCAAAACATGTTCCTTACAGTATAGAGAGGGTACAGCGGCGTGCTTGTACATAATTTATGGGCACCTTATATTCGTATGTATTTTTACTTAAACAGCTCTATGACAGAAGAGTGAACTTATGCCTTTTCTATGACTCACTTCTGTCATCTCTGGCTTTGGGGGAGGAGTCAGGAATCCTAGGGCTCAAAATCATCCCCTCCTTTATAGCCAACTCACTGTGAGCCTAGGCCACATGATACCTGTGCTCTACAAAGATTCTTAAAACATAATTTTTGTTTTTCCACATAGTAATTATTTCTGGTTGGTCTCAGTCCTGAGCACCAAGGACCTGACAGAAATCCATCCATTGACATCTTCTAATTATGAAGATTTACAAATGTGCTTTAAGAAGTTCTGTTGAATGTATTTAAATCTTAAATCCAAATTTTCACTAGCTTCCTTCTATGACTAGTGTTGGGGATTAGAAACTTGACTGCATCTACTCTGTGGGGAAGGATCCCTCTCTGCCTGGCTTGACTGTTCCTCTGTGTTTGCAGGGAATGTTAGTTGTCTTTGCATACTCTTTTTTGTTATTTTCTGACATCACCTCATGGTGGTTTCCTCTGATTTTACATGAATTTTTTCAGAACAGCATTCTGGCTCTACAGATGGAAAATGACAATCACCACATCTACCACTGTCCTTCACAGGTGGCATCACCACCATCCAGAGAGTAAACTGTCAAGGTGGGATTCCTTCCTCTTCCTCAGAGAGGACTCCAGTCTCCTATGCTGTGCAGTCCTGCCCTTTTCCTCACAGGCTCTTTTCATTTCATTCTAATATTACTGTGATTGATGGTTTGAATGAAGTATTCACTAATTTTAACAGACTGACACTATTTCTCTTTTCTGGAGCCTGTTTCCTCTCCTGGTACTACAATACTTCCCCCAACCCTTCCACGAGACTCCCTGAGCTCATACACAGCTCATACTAATATTTGGCTATAGTTCTCTGCATCTTTGTCCATCAGATGCTGGTATGTACCATGTTCCTGTAAGCAAGACTAACAGAGTATTATTATGTTAGGCATTGCTTCTTGCCCATGAAAAGGGTCTCAGGTTGAAGGTAATCAGGGGTTAGCCATTCCCTCAGTCTCTGCTCCTTTTTTCCCCTGCACTTCTTGTAGGTAGGACAAACTTTGTGTCTAAGGTTTTGTCCACAGATTTGTGTCCTTATATCTTCAATTGGAGCCCTACCTGACTACAGGAGGAAGCCACCTTAGTTTCCATATTCCCCACTGCTAGGAACTCAGCCAGAGTCACCCTCATAGACTCCATGGAGCCTCTTGCATCCCTGCTCTCAGATTGATCCCAGAGATAACCCATCCCCTGCCCAGCATCAAATTCCTTGCACTCTACTGGCCCTCTCTCCCAGGCTCTCCCTACACCTGATCCCCTATCATGCATGGCCCTTGCATCGCCTTCCCCACCCACCTCCTTCCCTCCATCCACTCCTGATGACTCCTTTATTTCCCCTTCTGTGTGAGATCCAAGCATCCTCCCTTTAACCCTCATTATTTGGCTTCTTTGGATCTGTGAATTACAGCATGGGTATCCTGTACTTTATGACTAACATCCACTTATAAGTGAGTACATACCATGCATGTCCTTTTGGGTCTGGGTTACCTTTCTAGTTCCATCCATTTGCTTGCAAATTTCATGATGTCCTTGTTTTGTTCATCTCTTGTGAGATATCTTGATTGTTTGCAGTTATGCCTATTATGAGTAAAGCTGCTATGAACATAGTTGAGCAACTGTCCTTGTGACCTAGGAAGTAACTTTATGGTGCTATCAGAAGTTAGAATATTTTTTCAAACTGGTCACAGCTGTCTTGGAACATGTAATTGCCCTTCTCTTATATTCCAAGAGTGGGCCACTTACCATTTCAAGGATGTTTGGTCCTTGTTCCCTTCAAGGACAGCCATCTGCAGGGTACACAGAGGCAGGTGTATGTTGTCTTTTGTCTGTTCCCAAAGCTGGCATTTGCTGCACACACACACCCCCAGGGGGGGCATTGTTAGGAGAAAGAAATGCCACCACGAAAAGGGGAATTGCAATATCCAGGCACCAGGCTGGGCTCTCTGTTTACCCTCTGTGAAATGCAGGAGGCATCTCTGCTGGGAAAGGAGGAAGAGTAGGGGAGCGCTAACTGCCTGAGCAGCTGGAGAGTGCAGAGGCGGGTTTCCTGCATCTCTTCACGCCACAATTTCCTTTCTACTAGATTTAGTGTATCTGGTTTTCTGTTGAGGTCTTTGAATCACTTGGTCATGAGTTTTGTGCAGGGTGATAAATATGTATCTTTTGCATTCTTCTACATGCTGATATCCAGTTAGACCAGCACCATTTTTTTTTTGAAGATACTTTTTTCCAGTGTATGGTTTGGGGTTCTTTGTCAGAAATCCACTGTCCATAGGTGTGTAGGTTTATTTCTGGCTCTTCTTTTTCATTCTGTTGATCAGCCTGTCTGTTTCTACACCAATACCATGCAGTTTTTATTACTTTTGCTTTGTAGTATATCATGAAATCAGGGATGATGACACTTCTAGTTGTTGTTTTATTGTACAGAGATTTTTCTTTTGTCATTTGTAGTTGAGAGTGGTTCCTTCGAGGTCTGTTAAGAATTATGTGGGAATTTTGATGGGAAGTGCATTGAATCTGTAGATTGCTTTTGATAAAATGACCATTTTTTTTTCTATGTTAATTCTACTTATCCATGAGTATGGGAGATCTTTTTGTCTTTTGATATCTTCTTCAAATTCTTTCATTAGACATGTGAAGTCCTTGTCATACAGGTCTTTCACTTGCATGATTACAGTTATACCAAGATATTTTGTATTATTTGTGGATATCATTAAGGTGGTGGTTTCCCTGGGAAACATTCCCAATTTCCCATTTCTTCCTCAATGCATATTTTCTTTGTATAAAAGAGGCCTACTGATTTATTTTTTTAATCAATTTTGAATCCAGCCAGTTTGCTCAAGGTGTTTATCAGCTCTTGGAGTTCTCTGATAGAATTTTTGTGGTCACTTATGTATATAACCATATTATCTGCAAATAGCCATGCTTTGACTTTTTCTTTTCCAAATTATATACTTTTGATCTTCTTTAGTTGTATTATTGCACTGGCTAGAACTTCAAGTACTATTTTGAAAAGATACAGAGAGAGTGGACAGCCTTGTTCCTGATTTTAGTGGGACTGCTTTAAATTTCTTTCCATTTATTTGATGTTGTTTATTGGGTTACTGTGTATTGCTTTTATTGTGTTTACATATGTGCCCTGTATCCCTGATTTCTCTAAGACTTTTAACATGAAGGGGTTTTGGAGTTTTTTCAAATGTTTTTTCAGCATCTAAGCAGATTGTCATGTTATTTTTGGTTTTCTCAGTTTATTTATATGTTGTATTAAGTTGATGGATTTTTGTATATTGAACCACCCCTGCATCCTTGAGATGAAGACCAAAGACTACTTGATCATGGTGGATGCTGTTTCATATGTGTTCTTGGATTTGACTTGTGAGGTTTTTTTTTGTTTGTTTGTTTGTTTTTGTTTTTTTTTTGAGACAGGGTTTCTCTGTGTAGCTCTGGCTGTCCTGGAACTAACTCTGTAGACCAGGCTAGCCTCGAACTCCCAAACTCAGAAATCCGCCTGCCTCTGCCTCCCAAGTGCTGGGATTAATGGTTGACTTGTGAGTATTTTGCATCAATGTTCATAAGGAGAAGTGGCGTGAAATTCTCTTTCTTTGTAGAGAGTCTTTCTTTGGTTTAGGTATCATAGTGACCACTGCTGAGTTCGCCCAGAGTGGCTGCAAGTTGGTAGGGAGCTAGGGTAAGAGTTCCAAGGTTCCTTCAAAAATCCATATATATATATATATATATATATATATATATATATATATCCACAGAATTTATTTATTTTAGCTGGAAAACTTTTTATTACAATTTTAATCTCCCTATTCTTTTGAATCCATTTAGGTTGCTAACTTCTTCCTCATGAATTTTTTTTTATCTATGTGTAAAACATACGTAGGAATGAAATCACAAGAAAACTCTTGGACCTGTTAAAGGCTCTCCTGCAGGTGAAAAATTATAGCTGTAATTGCACAAAACTATGAGAAAGACCACAGACAAATGAGTGAGTGATTCGTTGAAGAAATTTGTGAAGAACAAGAACAAACATAATTCTAATCCTGTCAGTGGCAAATAATTTTAAAAAGAATGACAAGAGAAATAATTGAAAGTAACTTACAGAAAAAGATTGAAATGAACAACAAATTCATATCAGGTTCATTAAGAAGATAAACAAGATTGAGGGACACAAGATATAGCTAACCAGCAGAAACAGGATCCAAATGATCAGATTCAGAAATGTACAGGGAGATATTACAATAGATACCAAAAATATTCAGACTATCATAAAGGGAATATTTTGCAAACCTATCTGGTTTAATTGGAAAATCTAAAAAACACCACTCATCTCTCCTTCTTGTAGACATCATAAAGATGGATTTATTTCTTTCTTTCTTTCTTTCTTTCTTTCTTTCTTTCTTTCTTTCTTTCTTTCTTTCTTTCTTTTTTGGTTTTTCTCGAGACAGGGTTTCTCTGTGTAGCCCTAACTATCCTGGAAGTCACTCTGTAGACCAGGCAATGATTTTCCTGAGATTATCTTGAGAGACAGGAGATCCCCCAAAAACATCCCTCCCTGGGTTGTAGCAGACAAGTAAGGTTAAGGAAGGTCAGCTGTATTTACGTAGGAATCTTGTTTTTAAAAGCAAGACTCTATCAGATGGGACAGGACATCATTATTTCAGGTATAAAAAGACTAGTGCAACATATTGTGTGACCAAGCTTCTTGCGCTATAAGACTGACTGACCTATATCAGCAACATTTCTGGCTGAGATCGCTAGAACTGCTTCACTCTGTTTGGTGGTAAAGCAGAACAGCTCTCAGGTTAAGGTGATCTTGCCAACTTAACCCCTCTTTCAGTAAACAAATGTCTGAAAGATTAACCTGTGTCTACTTTGGAAAACAGTTTGATCAAGGAGCATCCACAGGAGAGAAAGGTGGACTTTGTGCCTCATTCCCAAGCCCCTCATTCTGCTTCTATAAATGGTTCCATTCTTCTTTCCTCTCTGTTTTTATATTCCTCAATTCCCCATGAGAGTGAGTCTGTCTTTCAGTGTGTGAGACAATAAATTACAACTGTCTGTCAAGAATCAGACTCCTCTCTCTTCTGTCTTCTGGACCTTCATGCTGCCTCAGGAATCTAACCGATTCAGTCAGATGTTGAATCTAAAGGATTGCAAATCAAGTGAGAGATGCAATTTTTATCCCATTAGCCAGTAATCTATTGAAGAGGAAACCTGCAGGAATATTAATCAATAGTTATTCTTCTTTATTTAGATAAGATGAAGGAATGCTAGGGTACTGATCAACAGTTATTCTTCTTCATTTAGATATGATGAAGGAATCTTAATGTACTAATGCTGTCCTTAATCCAAGGGAATTAAGATCTCCAATAGCAAAGTGTGGAAGGCGTGAACCAGGGATGGAAACTAAAGGAAAAAGCTTAAGGAAGACAAAAGCAATAGCTGGGAACAGGATGTCTTCTATAAACAGTTGACACAAAGATAAGCAAGTTTATTAAAAAGTACACCAGGCGGGCTGGAGAAATGGCTCAGAAGTTAAAAACTCTTACCGCCCTTCCAAAGGTTCGGAGTCCAAATTCCAGCAACCACACAGTGGCTCACAACCATCTGTAATGGAATCCGATGCCCTCTTCTGGTGTGCCTGAAGATAGCTACAGTGTACTTGTCATACATATAAAATAAAAGAAGTTCAGCATGCAGTATTATATTGGTAGATGTAAAATGGCCAAATTCCCCAGAGACCTACACAATATTGGCAATGAGAGCACAGGATAGCTGCCTTAGGGCAGATGAGAACCCCAGTCCCAGGAGACGTGTTGGATCTGCCTGTTTATGCAACCATGACTCCTTCCATGGCACTGCATCCTCGGTCAGATTTGCCTGGCCAAGTCCACTACTGGGTGAAGATGGAGAACTAAAGTTCCCATTGTCCTTTCATGGAGCCTCTGAGACAGTGTTGGCTTGGTATAAGCCCCCACAGTGACTGAACTTCCTACTAAAATTTCTAATTATACTGTGGATAGTATAACTTGATTCTATTTGTCTACAAATTCAGTTATTGTTTGCCCATTGGGTGCTCAAACTCCTGACTCTTTGTGCAGTATCATTTGGATCTCTCTGTGCATGCTCAGGATCCAGCCCTTCCCAAACATATCGTATAGTATAAGTGGATCTTCATTGTATTTGTCATTTGTGATTGTGCATATTTGGGTTGAGAAGTACCTTCACCCTCACCACGGCTCTCTACTGTGAAGAACGTACACAGTGTGTGCTGAATTATAATACAATGAGGGGACACTGACTTTCCGTTTTTCCCACAACTTTACTATTTGTTTATTTTTTTATTGTACTGGCTAGTGTATTGTGCACTTGAAACAAACTATCCTTATGTAAATATAGGAAATGTTAATTTAGGAAATACTCTATAAGATCAGGCTGTGTGCCAGCCTGTAGAGCAATTTCCTAGTGACTGATGGACCATGAAACATACTGATATGCAAAGTGGAACTCTGAGACAGTAGCCCTGCATTCTATCAAGAAGCAGGCTGAGCAAGCCATGGATAGGAAGCCTATGAACAGAACCCCTCCGTTGTCTCTAATCATCTCCTGTCTCCAGGTCCCTGTCCTGTTTAAATCCCTGTCCTGACCTCCTTCAGTAATGAACTGTGCTGTGGAAGTGTAAGCCCAGTAAACCCTTTCCTCGCCAAGCTGATTTTTGGTCACTGGAGTTTCATGGCAGGAATAGAAGCTCTAACTAAGGCATATGTGTGTTTGTATTTTGTTACCATTCATGTCTAAGAGATTGTCTGATCCTCTCTAACTTGAGTTATACACAGTTGTGAGTGGCCATGTAGCATCTAGGAATCAAACGCCATGTCCTTTGGAAGAGTAGTCAGTGCTCTTAATTACTGAGCCATCTGTCTAGTCTTAACACACTGTTTTTAGTTGCCCTCGTTCTCCATTTTATGGTTCTTAAAAGCATTATACCATAGGAGTTTCTAGGACCTTCTGTCATCCACTTGACTTAGAGATGAGTCCTGTGTTGCAAACAGTACCACATCGGGAGTGTTTGGGGATTCTTTCTTACCTATATCAGAAGTGTTTCCAGCTCTCCTCTCACTTAGTGTCACCTTCAGATTTATATGCAGAAGCACATGGTGCCTCTTTGTATTTATGCTATTATTGATGGTCATATTTAGCATAATGTGTAAGTTAATTGTGGTTATGTCTATCCCAGTAAAATTTCCAAATGAACGAAACTCAGACTATGATTCATTTATTTGGCATTTGCTTAATTACTGGAGGATTACTGCTAATCTATTTTTCTGAAGCTAGACTGGCTACATCTTGATCCGTGCTCCCCAAATCCTTGATGTTTGAGAATTATGCCTGCTCCATCAGTCTGTCTGGGGCAGGGGTGGGGCATTTCACTTGGGCATTGCCACTGATCCATCATGACTGTTGGGGACCTGTCCTAACAACTTTCCTTCCCCTCCCTATTACTCCTTATACTCGTTGTGGTCCTTATTTACAAACTCAGCTCAGTCATCAAAGCCCTGCCTACCTCTATCCTCCCCTGTAATTATCTGTTGCTAGTTTTATTTAAGCAATATTTTAAATTGGGGAGCCAGTTTTGCACAAAAATTTCTGGCGAACTCATGGTAATTCACCTGTCTTGAGACAGCCAGATGTTGGGGTACAGAATTTAGCACTTGAATAAATGGACACACCACACCAACCCCAAACAATAATGTCAGATGTTTATACTTTTTATTAATTTTATTTTTTTCAGGAAATGCTGTCATTCTGGGATGTGGTCATTTATTTCTCTGCAGAGGAGTGGGAATACCTGGGTCCTGCTCAGTGGAAACTGTACAGGGATGTGACGTTGGAGAATTACAACAACCTTGTGTTCCTGGGTGAGGAGACCTTCCATGATGAATTCTTAATTAATTGTAAACATAAAAGTGGCTCCCTTTGTACAGTATCTCATGGGAATTTCTACATCCATCAATGAGGTCCATAGGGCTACTTTTAATGAAAATTTAAATTATTCCTGTAGCTTTGCACTATCTCTTCTTGTGTTCATATCACCCCCTAAATGGATTCTTTGTCTTAGAATATAAGTGGTACCCTAAAGAGAAGGTCACACACTTCAGTTGTAAAAGTTCTCTTTGTAACTGAGAGGTGTGAAGCTCAGGACCTACAAATTCCAAGTTTTTCCTCATCATTCTGATGTGCCCATAAGAAAACACATAAAAACTAGTCCTCCATACTTCTATTGTATCTTCTTATTTTTGATATACATAGCCCTGGAGGGACATTTTGTTTCCCATGTGACCACAGTTACAATGTTGTTTCCTTTTCCCACAACCAGGTCTTGCTTCCTCTAAGCCATACCTGGTCAGATTTCTGGAGCAAAGACAAGAGCCTTCAGATGTGAAGAGAGGAGCGGCAGCCACTGTGCACCCAGGTGTGTCAGGAGGAGGGTATCAGAACAGAGTGGGAAACTCTAAGATCTAACTTCAATCCATCGAGACACAGTGTCTTGGTATAAATCATCTATTTTTAAATTTAACATACATTTCTTTTACTTTTTCACCTTACATCCCGCTCACTGTCCCCTTCGTGTTCATCCTCTCCAACAATCCGTCTCCCGTCTGCCATTCCCTTCTCTTCTGAGCAGGTGGATGTTCCCTGGATATACCCCTCCCTGCTACTTCAAGACTCTGCAAGGCTAGGCTCTTCCTCTCCTACTAAGACCAGGCAAGGCAGCCCAGCTTGTAGAATATATCCCACATACAGGCAACAGCTTTTGGGATAGCCCTCTTTCCTGTCGTTCAGGACCCATATGAAGATCAAGCTCCACATCTGCTGCATATGTGCAGGGAGGCCTAAGGTCCCGGCCATGTGTGTGCTTTGATTGGTGGTTCAGACTCAGAGCCCCAAGGATCCAGGTTAGTCGTCCTGTGGAGGTCCTACCCCCTTTGGGTCCCGCAATCTTTCCTCCTCTTCTTCCTTAGGACCCCATGCTCCATCCATTGTTTGGCTCTGGGTGTCTGTATCTGTCTGAGTCAGCTGCTGGGTGGAGCCTATCTTAAGACCACATGATTATTCGCTCCTAAATATTCACTTTTCTGTCTTTTTCTATCAAAGGAGGACATAATCTAACATTCATAATGCTTTGAGTCCCATTAGCTTTGCTTTCTTCTTCCATGAGATTAGCCTGTGTTTCCTATGACAGCCAAAGCTCTGTCATTTGTATGTAATCTTTAACTTGGGTATGTATTGTTTTATAAGATATATGTACATGCATGTTTAAAAGTGACGAGTTATCTCGTCTAGGTCCCAAATGAATGAGACAGAGACTATAAGATTTATTTGATATGCTTTATAACACAATTACTGGGACATTAATAATTGAGTCTAATCCTCTAAGGTAATCTGGCTAGCTCCCAGAAAAGTTCCCATGATATTTTTATTTGAGTACTGGTCTGACTCTCTGAGCTTCAGAGGACTTTCCATGATGTCTGACTGGACCACTTATAGTGAATTCCCCCACACCCCATTCTTCCCTGGGGTAGAAGTCCAGCATATTCTGTCTTCAACCCATCCAGTGACTTCAGCAGAAGTCCAGCATATTCTGTCTTCAACCCATCCAGTGACTTATCAGCCTTTATTGACAAGTTAGAGCATAAATGGGGACTAATATTTACACAAACTTGAGATGGGAGATTCGAAGAATCAACACTACAGTGCCATTTCTGGACAGCACAAACATATATGCCCAGAAAAATCGAGAAGTTGAGTAATACATGGATAATCTTCACAAAATGCACAAAACCATTGTGCCTAAAGATATGCATAAAACTTTTTTCTTGAATCTTTATTTAATGTTTTTAAGCAAAGTCTTCTTCAGTTAGTATTCAACACTTCCAAAAGAAAACTCTATGCTTAGACTATAGATATAATATACATAATTACACATATATAATTATACATAATTATATATATATAATTTAATTTATTCAATTTAATTAATATATATATATATAATTTATTCAAATATTTTCCAAATTAGACTAATTTATACTTTCCTTTTAACTAGCCATGAAGTTTCTGTATTTGTTTAAGGGGCTGATTTTCATTTTCATAATCAAATTATGGATTTTCTTAGTTAATATTATACTTTTGTACATTTTTGATTTTGATTAATATTTCTTTCCTTGTTTTATTTCCATAGTCTTTTAACTTCAAGAAAAGCTATGTAGTTTTCACTTATTCTGTGTTTTAAATTATATTTCACTGAGTACAGATACAGAAAAATGAATGTAGCTTATCATTTGTACAAACACATGCAAGTATGAGTAAATGTTAGTTTTTAAAAAACAATTAGTGTAAATATACAGATTTTTTTCATTATTTTCATTCATCTCTCAACTTTTACTTACCAGGGGGGGAAAGCTATACGTGCAAAGAATGTGGCAAAGTCTTTGAGGCAAAAAAAGTGTTTCGAAATCACCAGATAATTCATTTAGGAGTAAAGTCCTACAAATGTGAAGAGTGTGGCAAGTCCTTCCATTTTTCTTCATTACTTTCTGATCACAAAAGGATTCATACAAGAGAAAAACCCTACAAGTGTGAAATCTGTAGTAAGGCCTTCCATGTTCCATCAAAACTTTTTAAACACAAGATAATTCACACAAGAGAAAAGCTCTACAAATGTGAAGTATGTGGTAAGGCCTTCTACATTCCATTATTACTTTCTAAACACAAGATAATTCATATGGGAAAGAATCCCTACAAGTGTGAAGTGTGTGGCAAGGCCTTTGAATATCCATCAAGACTTTCAAAACATAAGAAAATTCATACAGCAGAGAAACCATACAAGTGTAAAGTATGTGGAAAGGCCTTCCGCTCTCCATCATCACTTTGTGAACACAGGAGAACTCACACAGGAGAGAAACCATACAAGTGTGAAGTATGTGGGAAGGCCTTCTATTATCCATCATTACTTTCAAAACACAAGATAATTCATACAGAAGAAAAACCCTACAAGTGTGAAGTGTGTGGCAAGGCCTTCCATTATCCATCAAGACTTTCCAACCATAAGACAATTCATACCGGAGAGAAGCAATACAAGTGTGAAGTATGTGGCAAGGCTTTTCATGTTCCATCATCACTTTCTGAACACAAGAGAATCCATACAGGAAAGAAACCCTACAAATGTGAAGTATGTGGCAAGGACTTTCGTTGTCCATCATTATTTTCCAACCATAAGAGAATACATACAGGAGAAAAACCCTACAGTTGTGAAGTGTGTGGTAAGGCCTTCCACACTACAACTTTATGTTCTATACACAAGAGAATTCACACAGGAGAGAAACCTTACAAGTGTGAAGTGTGTGGCAAAGCCTTCCATTATTCATCAAGACTTTCCTACCATAAAAAAATTCATACAGAAGAGAAACCTTACAAGTGTGAAGTTTGTGGTAAGGCCTTCCATTATCCATCCATACTTTCTAAACACAAGATAATTCATACAGAAGAGAATCCCTTTAAATGTGAAGTATGTGGCAAAGCCTTCGATTATCCATCAAGACTTTCCAACCATAAGAAAGTTCATACAGAAGAGAAACCATACCAATGTGAAGTATGTGGGAAGGCCTTCCATTATTCATCATTACTTTCTAAACACAAGATAATTCATATAGGAGAAAAACCTTATAAGTGTGAAGTATGTGGCAAGGCCTTCCATTACCCATCAAGACTTTCCAACCATAAAAAAATTCATACAGGAGAGAAACCATACAAGTGTGAAGTATGTGGAAATGTGTTTCGTTTTCCATCATCACTTTCTGAACATAAGAGAATTCACACTGGAGAGAAACCATACCAATGTGAAGTATGTGGAAAGGCCTTCCATTATCCATCATTACTTTCTAAACACAAGAGAATTCACACAGGAGAGAATCCCTACAAGTGTGAAGTATGTGGCAAGGTCTTCAGTTATCCATCAAGACTTTACAAACATAAGAAAATTCATACAAGAGAGAAACCCTACAAATATAATGTATGTGGCCTGGCCTTCCCTTGTCCATAATTACTCTCTGAAAAGAAGAGACTCCATACAGGTGAGAAACCCTAAACTTGTGATGTATCAGTCAAGTCCTTTAGAGCTTTCCAGATTCTTTCTCCTTATTTGATAATTCATTCTGGGGAGAAACCATACAAAGGTGAGGAATTTGGAAAAGCATCTTTTACAAAGTCATACCTATATCTACACAAATTAACTCACAGTGTAGAGAATATTTCCAAATGAAACGAATGAATCAAGATGCTCAACAAATTTAGGAATCATCAAAGAATTAATTCTGAAAAGAAACCATACAAATGTAAAAAATGTGGCAAATACTTTTGAAGTTCCATTCCATGGTCTGATCACAGGATAATTCCTATTACAGATAAATGCTACACATGTGAAGAATGTGGCAAACACTATTACTACCAGTCTTCTGGTCTTGAACAACATCAAAGAATTCATGTATGACAGAAACCACAGAAATGTCAGGAATATGCTGTCTTTAGATTTACTAAAAACTGGGGGAAAACCTCATATTTCATATTACACTGAAATGTCACAAATGTGGAAAATATTGCAAGCCCTTTAATAAGCTTTCTTATATTTCTTAACACAAGGTAGTTCAAACTGGAGTGAAATAGTTCAAATGTTAAAATGTTCATAAAATTGGGGCTGGAGAGATGGCTCAGTGGTTAAAAGCACTGACTGCTCTTCCAGAGGACCTGAGTTCAATTCCCAGCAACCACATGGTGGCTCACAACCATCTGTAATGGGATCTGATGTCCTCTTCTGATGTATCTGAAGATAGCTATTGTGTACTCATATACATAAAATAAATAAATTATTTTTTTAAAAAAATTTCATAAAATCTTAACACTTCTTCAGACCCTAAAAGTGATCAACAGCTTCATGCTGAATAGAAGCCTATAAGTTTGGGGAATGTGGTAAAGGCTTTGGAATCATTCATGCAAGCATGACAAAAAGTGGAGCTGTCAGACTGTGTGGTTGTCCTTCTGCATTCAAGACTGATCTTTCTTTGGTGTTTTTTGTTTCTTCTCTTTTAGAATTGAAACCCTTGTTCTATACCAGGATGTAGAAAAGTAGTCACTTGTTTATATGCTGTAAGAGCTCATGGTTAAGAGATAGTCTTGAGTGTAATATGACACATGGACAGTTTAAGTGTTATAACTTTTATAGTGTTATACTTGTTAAATACTTTGTGAACCTTTCAAGTTGTAGCCTGTTTTACTTATGAGGTGAGGGTAAAGTTGGGGAAAGGGAAGGAATTTTATGGTTTAAAGCTTTTTGCATAGAGCTAGCATGTTGACTTTGGGAAAAACTCAATTGTCAACAAGTCCTACACCCATGTTAGTATTCCCAGTACCCTCAAAATAGAACAAGGTAATTATCTCTGAATGTTGTCATCTGACCTCTGTGTGTGGGCCTACATGCCAACATATTTATATATGTGTACCCAGAAAAAATAAACTTAGATTACATTTTTTGAACTGACTTTGGGTTTCACGTGGACATGAATCAAGAAGTAATGCCTGTATGTCAATTGTTAGCACCACAGAGTTCTCAAATCATTTGAGTTGCAAGCCTCTGCTTGTTGATTTGTATGATTTATCTTGATTAGTTTAATTGATTTCAGAAGGTTTTTGATTGTGATCGGAAGCATCTGTTTGACTGAGACGCTTATTATAAGATAATACCGTGAGAACAACTATTCATCAATCTCCTCTGTTTCCAGAATTTGGAAGTCACATGACCAGCACTTTAAGTTCCTGTTGTCTTACTTTTCTCACCACATGCTGTGTTTGGAATGAGAATTGCCCTCAGGGCTCATAAGTTTGACTGCTTAGTCATCTGGTAATAGCACTGCTGGAAAAAGATTAAGGAGTGTGGCATCATTGGTGTAAGTGTGTAACTGGGGGTCATATTTGACATTTCAAAGGTTCAGACCCAGTATCTCTCTCTTTTACTAACTATGGGTCAATATGTACAATTTTCAGCTACTTCTCCAGCACCATGTCTGTTTGCATTCCACCATGCTCCCTAGCTAGCTATCCACGATAATAAAGGACAAACCTCTGAAGTTGTAAACAAGCTCCACTTAAATGCTTTCTTTTATACAAATTGTCCTGTTTTGGTGTCTCTTCATATCAATTGATCACTGAGTAAGTCTCCATGCTAGACAATGAAAACGAACTATGATCCACATTAAACCCTTCAACTTGAGCTTGTCTGTATATTGTTTCACTGCCATTAGAACACTTACTAAATCTTCATGCCAAATGCAGGTTTCAGTGTGACATTTAATACATATGAATCATGTACTTTTTTTCTTTTCCCATTATTGCCCTCCCTCCTACTCCCTTCTCTGAGTAATGTTTCCTCTCCTCTTTACTTACATGTCTACACACATATCTACATGAACAACACAGGTGTACAGCAAGCAGTGTCCAAAACTATAGAAAGGTTAGTGACTTCTGGCTGCCTGACTGTCACACAGATTCCTCTGTAACACTGGAGAATTTATCTCTTCAACCTATTGGCCCAGAACATCTGACAGTTTTTTTTTGTTTGTTTGTTTTTTGTTCTTTTTGTTTTTTGTTTTGTAAAGCAGCAAATATGAAGGAGTTCTGTCCTGGCAGAGTTTGGCAGTTGATTTTCTTTGTGTCCTGCTTGTCCACAGCTTGCACAACATATGGTCAGAAGTTGAGGCAAGGGCAGTTTCTTGTCCACTGGCAGCTTGTCACATTTGCAGTAAACTCCCTAAGGAGGTTCTTCAATGCTCATCATCATCTTCAAAGGACTCTGTGGGTTTGCCAAGAGCTGGCATTTCTGATTGTCAAAAATTAATAAAACAGCTTTCAATGACATATTCTACAGATTTCTGATGTTTATGAAGACCAATGACATATTCTACAGATTTCTCATGTTTATGAAGACCATCTAACATTCTCAGAATATTTGCATAGGCATATGTTGCTTGTCTCTAACTATTTACTGTCTCATTAACTTAGAAAATGTCTGTGATTTAACTAAACTAGTATGTGTTTAGGTTTTATCTTTTGCTGTCTATTGCAATGCTAAGAGCAGGCCCCCAAGACCTGGAGTGTGCACCTAGTCCCTGGGACCCTGTCCCAGGTTATTTCTGATTGGTAAATAAAGAGCCAACAACTTATAGCTGGGCAGAAGAGAAATAAGTGCCAATTAGGTTTCCTGGGCTTCGGGTGAGAGAACCAGGAGAAGAAGAACATTCAGGAGGGAGAAGGAGAAACTGCTGTAGGTTAGAAGAACCATTAAAAAAAAAAAAGTGTGGTCCAGTGAGCTAGCTACTTGAAGTTAAGAGTAGCTCGGATGAAATATAGTAAATATGAAATAATAATTTGTGGTAAATATATCAATAGGAAATCCTATAGTACACAATGGATCAAGACTCAGGACACACACCATTGTGATCCCAGGGGCTCTGTGCCTCCCCTTGGAAGACATAGAGCAGAGGAGGAAAGCTTGTGCTCAGAGAACACCTGCTGGTCGCTAGCTTTGATTTCCAATTCTTCTGCCTTAAGCAACTGGGATGGTTTCAATAGAATCGTAACGTCCTGCTTCCATATTTTTAAATAAAGCAGATCATGAAAGCAGCAATTTTCCATTCGTGAATATGATTCTATAAGTAGATCTGAGTTTTAAAAGCACAATGTTTTAACAGAGATAACATGGAAACATGGTAAACCTGATTACTGTGAAAGGCTCCGCTCACAGGCTAACATCGCGTGCTGTGACCAAGGACTTTAAAGGAACCCAAATTCCCTGTGCATGCCCCTGTGCACCCGCTCACAGTTGGGCTGTAATCCAGGGAGGGCAAAAAAAAAACATCTATGGGATCCTGGAAGTCCGTCGCACTGACTTGTGGGAAATGTAGTCTCAAACGCTGTGACGTCATCAGAAAGGGCTGTCAGCATCAAACTTTCGTATTCTTTCTTCAAACTTCACTTCTCAAATTTGTGCAATTGTCCTGTTGAGCGCTGTATTTGGATCTCTGACATGGAGGTTGGTGCAGGGAACAGCGCCATCTTGCAGATCTGAGGGACTGTGCAGGGTCGCGGGTAGGGCGCGGAGGAATCTTACTTGGGCTTGTTGTGAGACGGAGAAGCTGCTGACCTGGACGTGCTGTGCTGACCTAGGCTGGGCCACTGCCCCTGGGCACAGGTTTGAAGGGGAGAAGGTTGGAAATAACAGTATGGCAAAGGCAGGCTGTGTCTGCTGTCTGCCTGTGCCTGAGATGCTGAAGGGAGCTCACTCATCTTTACTGGGAAAGCGTGCTCTGCCTAGCTGACTCCTGCTCACGTGGCTGTAGTCAGTTTCTTAGGATATATAGAACACGGGGACATCCGGCGCCCCTTATACTTTATGTCCTGGAGACTACTCCTGATTTGAGCTCAAACAGCTTCCTAAAGTTCCTAGTGTCCAGGGACAGAGTCCTCTGAGGGTGATTGTTGTGTGGGGTGTTAGTTACTTTTCCTTTGGAATGAATTGTTAGATTTATGGATGCTCGGATTGAATGGGAATTTCTAATAGACATCTCTGTGACTCGAATCATTACAATACATGGCTTATATAGCCACAGAATAATCTTGTAATTGGTATGAACCTGTGTTTGCACAATCCAGATAATTATGGATTTTGCACATCAAGATAAAAATCGCTAGACAGTAATACCTCAACAGTTCTGAGTATATGTGCTGTCCAGAATTTGGGCTCTATTTCAGATATGAGAGATGACTTGGTTTGATGAAAGATTGCTGGATGGGACTGGAATGTCTTAAAGGGAAGGGGGAAATGTCTCTGCTCATCTGCCAGGGTCTGTACATTGTACTGTGTTCTCTCATCGTGTGACTTTCTTCTGTCTGTTCACGTTGTCAGGAGAGTCTGAAGTGTCTTAAATTTCTTCTGTCTCTTAATGTGACATTCGGGTTTACTGATGCACCCTTAATAGTTTTAGAAAGAATTCCTCAAGTTTTTCAACTGCGTTTGAAAGGCTGTAAGATAAATTTGGAAAGCTGTGGCACACTTGGGGTCTTATGATTTACACATAGTAGGTTCCTGTCCATGCAAAATGCACAGTTCTCATCTTGAAAGGTTAAGAGAATAGTTTAGTCCAGAGCCATTTGAGTAGCCATGATCTGAAAACACAGATTTATTTTAATCCAAATTCTGTGTTCCAACATGGAATCAGTATCATGGTTTTACAGAACAAATAATGTCACTAGCAAAGGAAATTTTAAAATTTATTGGTGTGTGTCTGATAGAGGCAAGTACTGTGAGACATGGGAGATATTCTATTCACTTAATGTTGCAGCCAGCAGCTACAGTCCACCGGGTTCACCTGAAAGAGAGGCTGGGAAGGGACAGGAGGGTGGGAAGAGATGAAGCCAGGACAAAGGTTTCTGATCGAGGCTCAATGCTTTAATGTTCAGCTTTCAATTTAAAGGGGGTAACCCACCCCCACCCCCAGAGTTCCTTCTGGCTTCATCCGGCTGGGGGCGAGCGCTGGGGGTGAGCGGAAACCATCCTGCTGGAGCTGAGAGGAATCCATAGGTAATTGCGGGCCGGAGATGTCTCAAAGCAAGCTCAGCAGGCAGTCTATTCTTCTCAGCTGGTGTACCAGGCTACAGGCAGACAGAAAGGCACCATGGCCAAAGCAAGCACTACCTCGCCAAGGGCAGGAAATGCCTCTGGCCAGAGTCCTATTGTTTGGTCTATTGTGGTAAACAAGGTCTCATCTCTTAGTCCAGCTCAAGGCTGGGGGAAGGGCACAACTTAAGATACCATCTGATGAGATTTTAGCTTTTGGACTGGTAGAATCTCAGGTTCTGCCAAGTCAGTGGGTTCTGAGAGGTTTTTATCTATTGTCACAAGATGTGTGGTTCACTACAGATTGAGGCAAGGACTGTCCCTGAAGGGAAAACCAGCCCAAGGTTAGTCAGCTGCCCCTGAACCTGCAAAATTCCAGGCTCTGCCCCTCAATGAACTTCCACATGGGCCATCAGTCTCTGCACACACAGACTCCTTCCAAGAGTTTTGCATTCACAGTCAGACAGGCAGGTTTTTTATGTGTTTGTTTTTTCAGGATTTCTCCTCCACAGTCCCTCCTCCTATCTCAGGTAATCTTATTTATATTGTCACTGTTCAGTCAAACCAAGCATTAGTGAGGCAGAGCCCGGCTTATGTCATCCAACTCTACTCTCAGGTCGCGTGGGTTTCAGACCACCTTGTTCTGGAATTTATGTTTGCAACCATATCTAGGGTAATAGACATTTCCTAGTTAACATTGCTTATCTGTAGAAAAAATATAACAGTATGTGGAGTCAGGAATCAGGTGCTGCCTTGGACATCAAAACACACTCCTTACACTGTAGAGAAGGTATAGAAACATAGTTACATATAACTTACAGGCACCAAATTCTTATTTATATATATTTAATATCAAACAGCCTAATGATTGAAGAGTGAACTTAAGTGTATTCCATGACTCATTTCTGTCATCTCTGCATTTTGGAGAGGAGTCAAGAATCCTGGAATTCAAAGTCACCCTCTCCTTCATAGCCAACTCAAGGTGAGCCCAGGTTTCATGAGACCCTGTGTTTTAAAAAGATCCTTAAAACGTAGTTCTTTGGGTGTTGTAATAACTTCATGTTCCTTTCACTTCTGAGCACCAGGGTCAGGACAGAAATGCATCCAATTGACATCTTCTAATTGTAAAGATGTTACAAATGTGCTTTAAGGAGTTCTATGGGATGTATTTGAAATCTTAAATCCAACTTTTCACTATCATCCTTTTGTTAATGACTAGTGTTAGGCATTAGAAACTTGATTCCATGTGATTTTTGTCCATCATCTTCTGTCATTTATTGCATTTATTGACTTGCATATTATGAACCATCCTTCATTTAATGGACAAAGCCAATTTGTCATGGTTGATAAAGTTTTTCACATGTGTCTGTATTTTCTTTGCAAGTTTTTTTCCAAGTATTTTGGTTTTTTTTGTTTGTTTGTTTTTTTCGAGACAGGGTCTCTCTGTATAGTTCTGGCTGTCCTGGAACTCACCCTGTAGACCAGGCTGGCCTCAAACTCAGAAATCCGCTTGCCTCTGCCTCCCAAGTGCTGGGATTAAAGGCGTGCGCCACCACTGCCCGACTCCAAGTATTTTTTTGAACACTTTGAATCTGACTACCTTATGAATATTGGCTACTAGTGTTCTTCTGTTGTGTAGTTTGTGTTGTGTCTCTATCTGATTTGGTTATTAGAGTGATAGTAGCTTCTTAGAAATAGCGTCTAGGTGGGCCTTCTGTTTGCATGTTTATTTAACGGTTGAAGATAGATTAGTTCTAGATCATTGGATGCTTCAGAGGATTGTTGTGAATCCTTCTGGACATAGAAATTTTTTTAGCTGGAAAACTTTTTATTGTAATTTCAATCTCCCCATTTGATTTGAGTCCATTTAGGGTGTTAATTTCTTCCCCTTTCATTTTGTTTATTTATATGTAAAACATACACAAGAATGAAAATAAAATCTCAAGAAGACTAAACCTTTGAGACTTGTTGAAGCCAATCCTGTGGGTGAAGATTATAGTTCTAATTATTACATGAAACTATGGGAAAGAACACAGAGAAATGATTGAATGATACAATGAAGAAATTTTGGATAAACAAGAACAAACATCATCCAAATCCTCTCAGTGACAAGGAGTGAAAGGAAAAAAACAAACAAACAAAAAACAAAACAAAGAAAACAACCAGAAGGGAAATAATTGAACATAGGTCAAATAAAACGATTCAAATGATCGACAAACTCACAGAAGGCTCACAGTGGCCCCTTGTGGTTTTGTTTTTTTGGTTTCTGATTCCTTTCCACAGTCTCTTGGCTATGCTCATCCCTCTCTTCAGACTAAAATGTTGTTGTCTGTATTTTCCATAGTTTTGATTTGTAGAATATACTTCTTGTAATGCTCTTTATATTGTGGCTAGTTTTTCTTTTTCCTTCAGCCACTGCAGATAGCTGTGTGGTAAATAAATAGCGGCTTAGGTTGGATGGCATGGCCTTTTAAGACTTGGAATGCATTTCCCCAGGTTCTTTTGGCTTTCAAAGATCCATTTAGATGTCGGCTGTTGTCACAATAAATGTGGTCTTTCACTTACAGATTTCATTATTCCATGAGTATTTCATTTTCTGATCTTGTCCAATTAGTGGTGTGTGTGTGTGTGTGTGTGTGTGTTTTATATTATTATGGGTCTGTCCTTAGTTTAGGGAAGATTTCTTTTACAGCCTTCTTGAAGATCATATCTATGTCATTGCCTGGGTATTTTTCTCCCTCATCTATGCCTGTAATTTGGAGATGTGGTCATTTCACAGTGTCTAACATTTCCTATATGTCCCTCCTACAACTTTTTTCCCCATTTTATTTCATATTCTTAGCTTATTTTGTCTGGATCATCTACCTTATCTGTAAGTCCTTGTATGCTGTCCTCTGCTGATGAATTCTATTGTAAGTTTTTCTTTTAAGTTTTCTTTTTGGATTTTTGGGCTTTTGAATTCTGTCTTCATTGCTGCTAGAGACCTTCTTAGTGTTTCTTTTCATAGAATTCCAGTTTCAAATCCTCAATCGTTTTGTCATTTCCATCATTCTGATGTTTTTGGTTTCTTGGGCATCATATAAGCCTTTATTCTCCTTAAGTTCATTGTCTTCAATGGCACTGAGATGCTTCTTCATGCGTTTTAAGAATGTTATGTAGTCTATGATGAACTTTATGACTGTACTTCTAAAGTCTGTGTCCTAGTGTTCATCTAAGCAGTGTGTCAATGGCAAATGTTTCTAGACATCTTGTAGGACATTGAGAGGAAATGCCAGCGTGATCTTTTATATTGTTTATTTTTTCTATGAGAGCTGGTCATAAGGCTTTTAGGGGAAATGCAGGCTTGTCCTAACAGTCAGCCCATCTGCAGCAAAATTTAATGTTGTTTTATTAGGTTTGCGTGTCTGACTTCATAATGGCTTCCTTTATTCTTCTCAGTTATAAAACAGCTCTGTATTCTTTTAACACACGTTGATTTTCTTTATATTCCCTTTTTCTTTGATTTGAGTTCATCTTAATGTGGTTGGAAGTGAATTTCTTTAAATAATATGAAGTTTAACTAAATCGTAAAGAAAATAGGGAATTGTGGTACGCCTGATTAATTTGCGATTCTATTCAGTGATGATACAAGATTCAGTGTGGTCATTTGTGACAACATGGGTGATGGTAGATTTGTGGGCATGAGCGAAGAGGAGAAAGTCAAGAACTAGTCGGGAGTGACAGATGAGACTGCATATCAGCACACACAGCGGGGCACAGGAGTATGGGATGAGGGGTGTGTGAAGGGAGAAACCTGGGCTGGACCTTGTAAAGAAACAGGTGAGGGGCCAGTGCTGATCTAAGTTATGTGTAATTGCAAATATTTCTTTCTTTTATCAGGTGAGGGAAATGAGGAAGTAGATGCTGCTCTAGGAGCCCCCTACAAGTCTGCGGTCTCTCCCTCCTAGTGCTGTCTGCTTAGGCAGACAGATTAGCTTGGGTAACAGGCTGTCCCGTCAAACACTGCTCTGTGGGTTATAGCAGACTAGTAAGATTGAGGATTCCTGTTTTTATAAGCAAGACTCCTATCAGACAGGACAGGAAATTATTGTTTCAGGCATAAAAGACAAGTCCCACTTGCTGTGTGACTGTGACTGTGCTCCTTGTGCTTTCTGACAGACTTACCGAAACCAGGAGCACTGCTGACCAAGATTTTAGAACTAATCTTCTCTGTTTGGTGCTCTGAGATTACAAGTGACTTTGCCAGTATTCTTACTCTTTCTAGAAAGGAATTTCTGAATAGTTAACCTGTCCCAACTTTAGAAAACAATTTGGCAAAGGAGAAAAAAGTGGATTTTGTGCCTCATTCTTAAACCCTTCATTCTGCTCATATAAATGGTTGCAGCCTTCTTTCCCCTCTGTTTTTATACTTCTCAATGTCCCATGAGAGTGAGTCTCTCAGGTTGTCAGCTAGCAAGTGCAGTCCTGTCTGTCAAAAATGAGATTCCTGTCTCTTTTCTGTCTTCTGTCTCTTTCTGCCTCAGAAATCTAACCATGTCAGAAGTTGAATCTAAAGGATTATAAAATAAGTGAGAGATATGATTTCTATCCCACTGGCCAGTAATCTCAAGAAAAGGAAACCTGACAGAATTTTAATCAGTGGATACATTTTTTTCATTTAGATAAGATGAAGAAATCTTGGGCACTGACATTGTACTGAACCCAAGGGAATAGAGACCTCAAATGGCAATGGGTGGACCAGGGCTGAAAAAGAAAAAAGACGTGAAAAAGACAAAAGAAAGAGCTGGGAACAGGACAAAGAACAGGAACAGGTTATTAACTGATGACCCAAAGGCAAGCAAGTTTAATAAGTACAGCAAGCAATATACTATTAGTAGATGGAAAGTGGCCAAGGTCACCAGAAATATGAATCATACAGTGTTGGCAATGAGAACTCAGGATACCTCAGACACAGCTAGCTGCCTTAGGTCAGAAAACCCCAGTCCCAGAAGAGCTATAGCCCCCTGTAACTGCAACAATGACTCCTTCCATGGCACTGTATCCTGTGTCAGATTTTTCTGGCCATGTCCACTGCTGGATAAAGACAGAGAACTAAAGTTCCCATTGTCCTTTCATGTGGCCTCTGAGACAGCCTTGGGTCTGTCCCACAGTGACTCAACTTATTCCTAAATTTTCTAATTATTATTTTGTTAGTATAATTTATTCCATTTGTAAACAAAATCTTCATGTATTGTTCTACCCACTGGTTGCTCAAACTCAGACCCTCGGTGCCCTGTCATTTGCATCTCTCTGTATATTCGCAGGATGCTGACTTCATCCCAGAGGTGCTCATCAGGTCTGCATCTTCATTGTATTTGTCATTTGTGATTGTGCATACTGGGTTGAGAAGTACCTCCTCCATCACCACGGCTCTCTACTGTGAAAAATGTGCGGAATGTATCCTGTACTATAATGCAGTCATGGGACTAAATGGATATGATAAGGAAAAAATTACTATTTGTGTATTTTTTATTGTGCTGGCTAGAGTACTGTACACTTGAAATAAAGCGGAGTTATGTGAGTGTAGGAAATATCAATTTAGGAAATGCGTCTCTAAGATGAGGCTGTGTGCCAGCCAGTAGGGCATGTTCCTAGTGACTGATGGAACATCGCAGTCTGATAGTCAAAGTGCTACATTTGGGCCGGTGGCCATGGTTTCTATAAAAGAAGCAGGCTGAGCAAGCCATGGATAGGAAGCCTATGAACAGAACCCCTCCGTTGTCTCTAATCATCTCCTGTCTCCAGGCCCCTGTCCTGTTTAAATCCCTGTCCTCACCTCCTTCAGTAATGAACTGTGCTGTGGAAGTGTAAGCCCAGTAAACCCTTTCCTCGCCAAGCTGATTTTTGGTCATGGAATTTAATGGCAGGAATAGAAGCTCTAACTAAGACATATTTGTATTTTGTTACCATTCATGTCTAAGAGATTGTCTGATCCTCTCTAACTGGAGTTATACACAGTTGTGAGTGGCCATGTAGCATCTAGGAATCAACCCCATGTCCTTTGGAAGAGCAGCCAGTGCTCTTAACTACTGAGCCATCTGTCTAGCCTCAACACACTGTACTGTAGTTGCCTTCATTCTCCATTTTATGGTTCTTAGAAGTGTTATAGCATGGGCGTTTCTAGGACCTTCTGCCATTCACTTTCATTAGCGTTGGGTCCTGTGCTACCCTCAGCATCACATCGATAATATTTTAGGACTGTTATTTACCTATATCAGAAGTGTTTCTGGCTCTCCTCTCACTTAGGGTCACCTTTAGATCTATATGCAGGAGCATATGATGCCTCTTGTTACGTATGTGATTATTCATGGTTATAATCAGCTTAATGTATACGGTAATTGTGGTTATTTCTATCCTAGTTTAGCTATAAAATGAATGAGACTCAGTTTATTATTTATTTCATGTTTTCTCGGTTACTGGGGGATGACTCTTAACCTATTGCTCTCGAAATCTTTGCTGTTTGAGTCTTTACTGAATTATTTCTGGTCCATCAGTCTGTCCAGAGTGCAGGAATATTTCACTTAGGCACTTGCTACAGACCCATCGTGTCTAATGGAGAATTCTGTCCTTCCATCTTCTCCATCCCCTTCTTATTTCTCCTTCTCCTTGTGATGCTTCTTACCTTTGACCTCCAGCCCAGTCACCAAAGCCCTGCCTACCTCTATTTCCTCCCATAATTGACTATTGCCAGTTTTACTTAACCAATAGTTTTAAATTGGAGAACAAGGTTTATACAACTAACATTAATGTATATGAGAATATTCACTTGCCTTGGGGCAGCCAGATCTTGGGGTACAGAAGGTAACATTTGAATACATAGAAGCACCAGACCAACCTCCAACAATAATGTGTGGTATTTAACCTTTTTTTTTTTTTTTCAGGAAATGCTGTCATTCTTGGATGTGGCTATATATTTCTCTGTAGAGGAATGGGAATGCCTGGGTCCTGCTCAGTGGAAACTGTACAGGGATGTGATGTTGGAGAATTACAACAACCTTGTGTTCCTGGGTGAGGATAGCTTCCATGATGAACTCTTAATTAATTGTGAGCATGAAAGTTATTCTCTTTGTACAGTTCCTCATGGAAGCTTGTGCTTCCAACAGGGAGGTTCATAAGACTGCTCTTAAGGAAAATTAACATTATTCATAAAGCTTAGAACTACTTCTTTTTGTGTTCATATCGCCCTATTAAATGTATCATTTGTATTAGAAAATAAGTGATACACCTTAAAGAAACTGTCACACATTTCGGTTTTAAAAGTTTTCCCCTGTAACTGAGGAATATGAAGCTTGGAACACACAAACTAAGTTCCCCCTAAGCATTCTTATGTGCCCATCAGAAAACACATGAGAACTGGTCCTCCATACTCCTTTATTGTATTTTCTCATTCTTGTATACACAGCCCTGGAGGGACATTTTATTTCCCATGTGACCACAGTAACAATCTTGTCCCCTTTTCCCACAAACAGGTCTTGTTTCCTCTAAGCCACACCTGGTCACATTTCTGGAGCAAATACAAGAGCCTTCAGATATGAAGAGTCAAGCCGCCATCACTGTGCACCCAGGTGTGTCAGAAGGAGGGTGTCAGAGAATAAAGTGAGGAATTTTAAGATACAACATAAAGCCATTGAGACAAAATATCCTGGTATAAATCATCTTTTAAAGATCTAATTTTGTCTTTCTTTCAAAGGAGGACATCATGTAATGTTTAGGATGCTTTGAGTCCCATAAGCTTTGTTTTCTTCTACCATGAGATTAACTTGTGTTTCCCAAGACAGCCTAAACTCTGTCTATTTTATGTAATTTTTAACTTGGCTATTTATGTTTTTTATGAGATACATGTACATGCATTTTTAAAAGTCCTGATTTTTCTTTATCCCCAGCTAGCTCCCAAACGAGTGAGACAGAGACAATAAGAGTTATTTGATGAGCTTTACAACACAGTTCCTGGGCAGTTAATAATCGATTCTAATCCTTTAAGTTAATCTGATGGCCTCCCAGCCAAAATCCACATGATAGTTGCATTTTACTATTGGCCCGACTCTCTGGCCTTCAGACGTCTATCATGTGATTCTGGACACCTTCGTCATAGCTATTCCTCTCTCCTTGTCTCTGTGAGTGTTTATATTTGTGTGTGTGTGTGTGTGTGTGTGTGTGTGTGTGTGTGTGTGTGTGTTCTTCCCTGGGCTGGCAGAAGTCCAGCTCTGTTTTCTCTAGCCCAGCTATTGGCTGAACAGCTTTTATTGACAAGTAAGAGAATAAATAGGACCACTATTTATACAAATTTGAGATGGGAGATCCTGAGAATAAGCATTACAAGGCCATGTCTGGTTGGCAGCAAGATTTGGAGGCAGAGAAATCAGTGTTTGTATAATATGAGGATAATCTTTACATGATGTACAAAAACATTATGCCTAAAGATAGTCATAAAACTCCTTCCTTTGTATCCTTAAAAATTATTATTTCATGTTATTATGGAAAGTGTTCTAATGCTGCCGAACTTTCATAACATTTAAAACTAAACTATATACTTTAAATATATATATGTATATTTAATGTATATACATATAAATACACAGTCATATATGTATGTGTATTATATATTGAGAAAAAAATATATGTGTGTGTGTATATATATATGTGTATATATAGTTTATTCAGGTGTTTTCCAAGTTACACTATGTTATACTTTTGTTTTTAACTAGTCATAAAATCTTTGTATTTGTTTAAGGGGTTGATTTGTATTTATATAATACTATTATGGGTTTTCATAGTTGATGTTATGCTTTCCTTACATGTTTGACTTTGATTAATATTCCTTTGTTTCCATGTTCTGTGTGGTTATGGTCTTCTTATTTCAGTGGAAGTTTACATTACTTTTACCTATTCTGTGTTGTAAATTAGACTTCAATGAGTACAGGTAGAAATTTGAATATAGCTTATCATTTTTATAGATGAATAAAACTATGAGTAAATGTTTGGTTTTAGCAATAAGCATTGTAAACATACAGACTATTACTCTGCTTTCATTCATTTCTCAACCCTTCCTCACCAGGGGGAAAATGTTATACATACAAAGAATGTGGCAAAGCCTTTGAGCACAAAAATGTATATCAGAATTGCCGGAGAATTCATTTAAGAGCAAAGTCCTACAAGTGTGAAGAATGTGGCAAGTCCTTCCATTATCCATCAAGACTTTCTGACCATAAGAAAACTCATACAGGAGAGAAACCACACAAGTGTGAAGTATGTGGCAAGGCTTTCTATTATCCATCAAGACTTTCCAGACATAAGAAAACTCACACAGGAGAGAAACAATCCAAGTGTGAAGTATGTGGCAAGGACTTCCATTATCCATTAAGACTTTCTAAACACAAGATAATTCATACAGAAGAGAATCCCTACAAGTGTGATGTATGTGGCAAGGCCTTCGACTATCCATCAAGGCTTTCCAACCATAAGAAAATTCACACCAAAGAGAAACCATACAAGTGTGAAGTATGTGGAAATGCCTTCTGTTTTTCATCGTCACTTCATAAACACAAGATAATTCATACAGGAGAGAAACCCTACAAGTGTGAAGTATGTGGCAAGGCCTTCAGTTCTACATCAAGACTTTCCAAACATAAGAAAATTCACACAGAAGAGAAACCATACAAGTGTGAAGTATGTGGAAAGGCCTTCCACTTTCCATTCTTACTCTCGATACACAAGAGAACTCATACAGGAGAAAAACCCTGCAAGTGTGAAGTATGTGGAAAAGCCTTCCATTGTCCGTCAATACTTTCTGTACACAAGAAAATTCATACTGGAGAAAAACCCTACAAGTGTGAAGTATGTGGCAAAGCCTTCAATACAACATCAAAACTTTCTCATCATAAGAGAATTCATACAGGAGAAAAACCCTACAAGTGTAAAGTCTGTGGTAAGGCATTCTATTATCCATCAAAACTTTCCAAACATAACAAAATTCATACAGGAGAGACTGTACAATGATGAAGTCTATGGCAAGGCCTTCCATTCTTCATCAAGACTTTCCAAACATAAGAAAATTTATACAAGAGGAAAACTGTACAAGTGAGAAGCACATGGCAAGGTCTTCCATTCTCCATCTTTACTTTTTAAACACAAGATCATTCATACAGGAGAGAATCCCTAACATGGTGAAGTATGTGGCTTGGAGGAGGGTTTTGAGAGAAGGGATGTTTGGGAGCGGTTAAAAAAAAAAAAAATTACTTGAAGTCAAATTGTGGGTGCATGCCAGTAGCCTATATTCAGCTCAAGACAACTTTTGAGACTGCTTTCTCTATGTTATGCTCCAGATAGTTGTCTAAGAAGTTCTCTCTTGCTCTTCTGAAAGATTCTCTGGATAGTTCATCTCTTTCAGATCAAAACCCAGTCTTTTTATTTACATGTCAATCCAGCCATTTATCCAAGTTCCTTTTTGATTATCCCATGAATCAGCATTTCATAATCCCAGCCCCTTGATTCTTAGGGGACTGGAAGCACATTTTTTTTTAATCAATATTGCAAAAGAATTCAGACATCTGCCTGCTCCTGTTAAGCACAGACAATAATTTAGGTGTGTGTAACCTCATTTTGAGATCGCCATTCTTACCACAACTATGCCTAACTTTGCTCTGTCCTAGACAGACCCTGAACTCTGAACTCAGGAATCTGTCTGCCCTTGTAAACAGAAACAAAAAACTAAGCTGGGTGACATTTAATTACCACTCCCTAAATCTTTTTTATCTCCTTCCTTAGTGTCTTCTGACAAGTTGGCTTTGAGTTCAGCTGATTTTGTTCTTTTAGATTTGTGAAGCCCCTCATATACCTCATACTACATTATATTTTACATAGTTGAGAAATTATATTTTTGGACTCATGTTTTCAGAGTTGTTTCCCACAGCCTTAAATACTGGGACTGGTCCCAGTATTTACCATTTTGCTGAGACATTAGCTACATCTTTGATTCCTGGACTCATGCTGTTTCTAAGTACGATAGAGTCATGGAAATTAACAGTGAGAGCATTCCTTGAAGGAGAAACATGAAAATATATACATGATTACACAAACAAGCCTTGTGCCCACTGCGAACATCAACACTCATTGAGCCACATGCTGGCCCTGTTACAGGGGTAGGAACCATGTCATCCCTACCACAGCAACTTGTCTTACTTCTGCCCACCTCCCGTCTCCCTCTGACTCATTCCTCCTACTGTATCCCCTTCAGAAAAGAGCAAGCCTTTCAGAGACATCAACTGGGTTTCCTCCAACCCAGGAGGAGGAACGTAGTATCAAGAACAGGCAAGACACCAGAGACACCCCCACTCTGACTGCCAGGAACCCCACAAAAACCCAAAGCCTATAACCATAACTTATACTCTGGACCTAACACAGACCACTGCTGGCTCCATGATTCCCACTTCAGTCTCTGTGAACCACCATGAGCCCTGCTTAAATGATTCCTCAGGCAGTGCTCTTGCAGTGCCCTCAACCCCTGTGGTTCCTAGAATACTTTTTCCTTCTCTTCCACGGGATTCTCCAAACTCCAAGGAAAAAACCTGATGGAGACTTCCAACCTGGACTCTCTGACTAATGTTTGGCTGTGGGTCTGAGCCTCCATTCTCCACCAGCTTTCAGAGAAAGCTACTCTAATGTTGAGTGGACTAGGCATGTATCTGTTAGACTACTATGGTTGTGAATAGGTATGGCCCCCATAGACTCATGTGGTTGAATTCTTGTCCCATAAACAATGGCACTATTAGGAAGTTTGGCCTTTTGGAGTGACCATGGCCTTGTTGTAGGATGTGTGTCATTCATTGTGGGGGTGGACTTTGAATTCTGTACTCAAGCTACGCCTAGTGGTGAAAAAAAGTCTTGTGATTTTAAAATCAGAATCTCCTGTTCAATTTTACCAATGAGGACTCGGATATCATTGTAACACCTGCTAACTCAGAGTCAGAGAATGCACCCAACTGACCTTAGGACTTCACTGATGTCCCAGATGGAAAAAGCTCCTTTTCCAACCTGTGTTAGATACACTTCTCCACAAAGTCCTGTCTTTCTATTTATATTCACTCTCTGCCAGCGTGTTGCTTTTTCTGCCTCTTCGCTGATGGTTGAATTCATTTGGCTCTTAGATTAAAGGTGTGTGCTAGGGCTGAACCATACTATAACTAGGGTTTTCAGTTCACAATCTTGGGTTTCATAATGTGATCAAATATCCTGCAACGTTCCCCCTTTTTGTCAAAATAAAAGACTCTCTAACATCAATGAACTACATAGTATATGGTAAAAATTACATTCACAATGACCAGTCCATTTCTATTTGGTAACTTTGGAGAACATAGTATGTCTTCTGTCTTCATGAGTTCAGCATTCTATACCTACATAACATTTTATCATAACTTGCATTTATCAACCTAAAAACATAATTTTTAGACCTTAAAACATTTTCTTAAATTCTAAACAACTTAAGCTTAACTGGGAGACTATACCTATCTAGTCTTCAACCCCATTAGAGACCTGAGAAGGATAAATATTTTCTGAATAAACAGGAAGTGCAGAGCAAGCAGCTTCCTAACTATAGAAATGTTAGGGACATCTGGCAGCTTAGCAGTCTCCAAAGATTCCTCTGCAACATTGGAGCATTTATTTTTTTGAACTATTGGCCCAGAATACTTTACAGATTTCTCTGTGACACAGGATAAAGGATTTCTCTACCTTGTCCTGGGAGAGTTTGGCAGTCAACTTTCTTTGTGTCCTGCTTGTCTACAGTTTGGACAGCATACAATCAGCAGTTGAGACAAAGCAGTTTCTTACCCAGTGGCAGCTTGTCACATTTGCAGCAAACTTCATAAGGAGGTTCTTGATGTTCATCTTCTTCGAAGTAGTATAGGGGTGATACCAAGAGCTGACATTTCTTATTGTCAAAAATTAATAAAACATCTTTTAGATGCCATATTCTACAGACTTCTAATGTTTCTGAAGACCATCTAACAGTCTCAGTATATTTGAATAAGCAAATGTTGCTTATCTCTAGCCATTTACTATCTGATGAACATAGAAAAACATCTGTGATTAACTAAACTAGTACTAACAAATTCACAAGTTTGATTGACTTGAGAGGACTGAATTATCCAGCACTGGACTGACTCCATGACAGGCTGCAAACTGGCAGTTTGTGATATGAGCACTAAGTGTTTTGTTTTTCAGATTAGAATCTGGATCTCAGAACCTGTGATCAACCAACCACACCCACGGGCAGCCAATCTGAGAACACTTTGTCATCTGGCCTGAAGTAAGAATAGGTACCTAGAATGATTAAGCAACCCCCATGGGAAGTCTCCAAAGCCTAACCAATTGCAGAGTCAGTTACACCTGTAGAGACAGAACTAACCAACCAAGGTTAAAGGGCATAGAATCCTTCCTGGAACTCCTCTAACTGATGATAAAAGCTGGGCCTATGAGTCTACCAGGGGTCTCCATTCCCAAAAGCAGAGACTCCCGCGTCTAGGAAATTCTTCTGAATAAATGCTCTTTCTTTTGCATACTATTTGAGTCTGAAGTATCATTCTTTGGTGATTCTTGTACTGTAACATCTGATTATTAAATTGCATTTTTTAACTATCTCAATTTTTAATGGCAACTTTCAAAAGGACTAGAACATCACATTGAATATTCAAGAATTACATAGTTACAATATCTTAAAAAGTTGATATATAGTATGTTTTAACTGAAATATGACCTTAATTCTGTATCAAAATACAGACATCTATACCAATGTAACTGTTTCCTAGTAACAGCACATGAGGAAATTTCCTTGTAACATTAATACTAGCATAAAATGGCTGGCTAGACAGGCAGCAGTTACCAAAGCCTTAACAGGTAGTAGATCCTTAAGTGTAGAGCAGAGCGAGTTTAGATATGATATTTGGCAATCATTTGTCATGGAAGTGAAATTTGGAAATCAGGTGTACTAATTTTTGGCCTTTGAATGGAGCCAGAGTGGGTCCATCAAGGAAGAGCGAGTGCCTGGCTTACTGCAAGCTGGTTACAAAAATCCAGGAGTGGGAAGGGTGCACAGTCTGTGTGGGCAGGCAGAGATCCAGGGCCACATGAAAGACACGGCAGGCTAAAGAATCAGACTCTAGAATATGGCCTCAGGTTCACAGACAAATTGTACATACCTTAGGAGGGTCAGATCAGCAGTGTGGTTCAAGCAGCCCTTATGGCTGGAACAGATCTGTTGTAGTGAAGGAGAGGGAGGGTTGAGAGAACTATTTCCAAAATCCCTGGATTCAAGGAGGTCAGACTGAAGTTGTCCATGCAAAGTCTGTGACAAATTCAATTTGGATAAATTTTGCAGGAGATACTCCCAAGGTGTCTAGCAGTTGAGTTGTAGATGTGGTGGTGTCAATTTTCCTAGACTTTACTGGTAACTCAGAAGATTCAATGGGCACCCATTATACCTGCAGGGTGAGTGGTGTCAAACAGTGGGGTGGGATATATGGGTAGCCCGTGGTCATCTGGTCAGTCTCTGAATCCCAAGGCTCCACAGAAAGAAGACTGTAATTTTTTTCTAGAACAGACTTGAGCTTGCACAGATGAGACATTTGGCAGGAGGAAAGGGATCTTGAGCCATGGAAGAGGAGCCTTGTCCTTCTTGACAGTGACTGGGAAAGGATAACTCACCTACTACAAAGTCAGTTGTGTCAAGTGAAGAGAAACATGGAGGGAAGGAGCAGCCCATGTGGCCAGGCTAAGCCTGGCATGCTAAGCTTGCAGGGCAGGGGCACGACTCTTCCAAGTCTCCATACCAGATGAAAGGATTCTATTCCAATGAAGTAAGACAATTCAAGACAAATTAAAGTATAAAGACAGGTTTATTGGGAGCAGTTCTCAGGTAGACCCACTGGTCCCAAGAATGAGGCCAAGGAAGTCAGTGTGCAGAGGGAACCGAGGAAGGGGAAAGAAAAAGAAAG